CGTAGGGGGCGTGCAGGAGGCAGCCGATCCATGATTCTCTCTCATCGTTGGTGTTTCTATCTCTCTCCCTCTCCCTTCCTCTCTGAAACCAATAAAAACATATTAAAAACGAAGTCTTGGAGAAGTGGGCGCAGAAACAGGTTTCGGCGGGCTTTGCTGAGGGGTCACCTCTCACCCTCTGGGAGGACCCGGAGGGCGGACTGGCAGGGGACCGGGCTCCTCCTCCTCACGCCAGGTCCTGGTACTCCGGTTTCTTTGGAGTGGGTGCCCCGGGCAGGTGCTGGCCCCGTGGGAAGCTGGTCCGAGTTTGCTCTGAGCACAGGCGGTGGTGCAGGGCCCGGGGTGGCACGGGTGGCTGCATGCAGGCCCCATGGGGCTGGCATCTCGCAGTGGCCCCTGCATCCTGGCAGGAAGGTGGGCGTGCCCGTCCCTGCCAGGGGGGCTCTGCACTCGGAGCACAGTGACGGCTGGGCTGTGTCTGGAGCAGGTCGGGGTGGGGGGGGGCACAGTTTTCTTTCCTGATGTCTCTGTTGGCATCAGCCGCACAGCGCCTGCTGCTGCTGGTTGAGAATGGGTGCCAGCCAGGAGGGGGGAGGGGAGAGGAATTCTGAGTCTGGGCCCTGAGGGTGTGGGGAGGAGGGAATCGGGGCCCTGCTATAGGCCTGGGGGTGGGCAGGAGGGAGGGAGCCCGTCTAGAATGAGGTGGTGTCCGCCTCGGCGTCAGCGCTGGGAGAGGCCGAGCAGCCAGAGAACAGAAGGGCAGCACAGGCTGTGTCGACCCGACAGGCACATGGGAAGAGCTGCAGCGGTTCAGCCAGCAAATGAGGTGCCTGTGGGCTGTGTGCCTGCGATGTGGGGTGTGTGTGTGTGTGTGTGTGTGTGTGTGTGTGTGAGCTTGTATGTATATGCATATGAGTGTGAGAGTGTGTGAGAGCTTGTGTATGCAGGTAAGTGTGAGTATGAGTGACTGTGAATGTGTAAGCTTAGGTATGCATTTGAGTGACCGTGTGAGAGTGTGTGAATGTGTGTGTGTGAGCATGGCTGTGGGTGTGCATGTGAGTGTGAATGTGTGATGGTGCGTATGTTGTGTGGACGTGTGTGTGAGCATGTGTGTGTGACAGTGCACGTGCATGTGAGTGTGAGCGAGTGTGGTGTGCACGCGCTGCGGGTGGGAGAGAAGTGGAGGCTGCCCTCCAGCACCGGGCAAAGCCGTGGGTTCCCAAATCAGCGTTTTCCAGCCTCGTGCTTGGGCGTTGAGTTAAAAATAGCCCGGGTGGGAGTTAGCGCAGCAGACGCGCATCTGTGTTCCCGCGGCTGGTTGCTGAGGCTCACATGGAGCCGAGTCGGCTGGAGCCCGGGGCTGCAGGCCCCACTGATGTTCAGTGAAGAAAGCCTCGGGGGAGAGAGGGCCCGTGGCGGCCGGGATCTCCCATGGGCCGCTGAGAGCCATCTGGCCGGGTGCCCGCCCGCCCTGCGTCTTGCTGTCTGTAATTATCAGCTGGAGTCGGTTTGGGGTGAGTTGGAGACTTTCTCCCTCCCACCCTGTGTCTAAACCACTTCTTACATAATGTGGTTCCCGCGGGGCCTGACCCGGACACACGCAGGGAGGGGATTGCAGATCCCGGAGGCGCTGAATCACCTAATTACACGGTCACGTGGCCCCGGCCCCAGCCCCAACCTGGCCCGTCCTCACCTCCCAGTCATCTCGCTCCAGGTCCCCAGTGCGACTGTCACCTGACCCTGACCCTGAAGTCTGCGCCTCGCCCCGTGGTCATCCCATCACGGGACGCGGAAGCGGGGACGCGGTTCCCAAAGGCCCGATTCCTCACGCCCCTGTCCGCTCTGCGCAGGTGATGGTGTCGGTCGCTGCGTTTGAACCACCGGCATTTCTCATCCCTGCGGCTCCTCCTCGTAGGGACACTCGTGAGGCTGCCACTTGGCTACCACCGTGCGAGTGCGTGTCTAGCGGCCGGACTCTCGAGACCCTTAGGTGGGGATTTACTGTTGGAAAGAGCCCGGCCGGCGTGGCTCAGTGGTTGAGCGTCGACCTAGGAACCAGGAGCTCAGGGTTCGATTCCTGGTCAGGGCACATGCCGGGTTGCCGGCTCCATCCCCAGTGGGGGGCGTGCACTCTCTCTCCCCCTTCCTGTCTCTCTCCTGGGAACGAGGCCCTTTCCTCTCCGCAGGAGGCGCTGGCCCTGCTGCTGAGTTAGCAAAGGGCCGAGCCCGGCGTGCCCGGTGCTGATGCGGCTCCTGTCCTGGGCCCGTGGTTCAGTGAAAGCCCTGACTCTCTGTGCCCACAGTGAGCTGCCTCCAC